TTTTTTCCAATGCTCGACTGTCCAATCCTTGTGTTCCTGTGCGAATTGGAGACGTTTTATCTTGGTAACTGCAGACAACAAAGGTGTTCGAACAGGCCTTTGGCTTCCATATCCCATATGATGCAGTGTACGGCTAATTTGCCTACAAACGTCAGGTGGTCATAATAATCTGGCCACTCAGTGTATTTCCCAGCTTCCCTTGCAACTAGAATGGTCCATGTGGCTACAAACAGTTCCTTCCCCAACAGCCATGTTTAGGCTAATCGATCCCACTTCCAGCTCCATGAATCAATTAGGATAATTTTCCTTCTGTCCATCCTCACCTACCAATAGACTCCTACTTCTTGGAGCTGCAATGTGCCCAGATCCCTTATAGACTGGGGCGGCCACAGCCAATTCTGGCCAAGTCATTGGTTGGGCCTTCCTGGAAAGTCACTTAGAAGGGGCAGCTGGCAATACTATTTTGCCCACAGTTATTTCTCCTTGCTGCTGTCTAGGATGCTGTCCTGATGGTTGGAATACCACTATCACGTGCTGGAGGTAGGAGGATAATAAATTTGTTGTTGGTGGAGTTAATCCTCACCCGAGGATATTTTTCCTTTGGTTTTTAGAGAGTAAGAGGGGGAGAGACACACAGAGAGAAACATCAATGTGAGAGAGACACATCGATTAGGTGCCTCCTGCATACGCTCTAACTAGGGATAGGGATAGGGGCCTGCAACTGAGGTACGTACCCTTGACAAGGATCAAACCCGGCTGGGGCAATAAAATTTTTTTATCCCATGCCGCCTGAATAAATGTTTCCAGAAACAGTCCCCTTTCTCTATCTCAGACCCAAAATAGGGTTGTTACTGCTCATGCCCTTCTCAGCAACAGCCACCCACATACTCCAGGTCTTAAATGTTTAACGAAACTCAGCGCTCTGTTCCTCCCTGCTTGTGTGGAGGGCAAGGCTGGTCTTCTGGTGACTAGATGGAGCTGGCATGGGAAAATCCGGCTCCTGAAAACTGCCTCATGAGGAACAGAAGAAACTTCTGGTTTCTTGTGAAGTGCAGAGTCAAGCACACAGTTGGGCACCTGAAAGCCACAGTGACCTTCTCTGGTTTATTGGGTGCTTGCTATGTGCCCGTGCTGTACCAAGTATTTAAATTACTACCTATGTGGTAGGAGGTGTCAATATTCCTACAAAGAAACAGGCTCACAGAAGTCAGGCGACTTTGCCCAAAGTCACTAGAGAGAAACATCAATGTGAGAGAGACACATCGATTAGGTGCCTCCTGCATACGCTCTAACTAGGGATAGGGATAGGGGCCTGCAACTGAGGTACGTACCCTTGACAAGGATCAAACCCGGCTGAGAGACACACAGAGAGAAACATCAATGTGAGAGATACATCGATTAGGTGCCTCCTGCATACGCTCCAACTAGGGATAGGGATAGGGGCCTGCAACTGAGGTATGTACCCTGGACCAGGATCAAACCCGGCTAGGGCAATAAAATTTTTTTATCCCATGCCGCCTGAATAAATGTTTCCAGAAACAGTCCCCTTTCTCTATCTCAGACCCAAAATAGGGTTGTTACTGCTCATGCCCTTCTCAGCAACAGCCACCCACATACTCCAGGTCTTAAATGTTTAACGAAACTCAGCGCTCTGTTCCTCCCTGCTTGTGTGGAGGGCAAGGCTGGTCTTCTGGTGACTAGATGGAGCTGGCATGGGAAAATCCGGCTCCTGAAAACTGCCTCATGAGGAACAGAAGAAACTTCTGGTTTCTTGTGAAGTGCAGAGTCAAGCACACAGTTGGGCACCTGAAAGCCACAGTGACCTTCTCTGGTTTATTGGGTGCTTGCTATGTGCCCGTGCTGTGCCAAGTATTTAAATTACTACCTATGTGGTAGGAGGTGTCAATATTCCTACAAGGAAACAGGCTCACAGAAGTCAAGCGACTTTGCCCAAAGTCACTTGTTTAAGTGAGAGCAGACATTTGAACTCAGGTACATCATCCCAAGTATTCGAAGGTGAAAGGGACAGAAATCCAACTCAAACTAGCTTAAGCAAAAAAGGGAAGTTATTGAATGGAGTCCAGGGGTGGTTTCAGGCACAGATGGAACCAGGTGCCCAGTCTCTCTCCGTCCCGTGGCTCCCTTTCCTCTGTGTGAATACTTCTTACACAATCTCTGGAAGGATGGGTATTATCGGCTTTAGTCCTTGAGAATTAAGAGTTTATAACTCCAGAGAGTCTTTTCTAATAACCGCAGTAAAAATTCAACTCCACCAGTACGCTGTGTGTCCAAGTTTAAATCACATGCCCGGCCCTGAAGCAATCGCTGTTACAGGGAAACAGACTTCTCAGACCCAAGTCACAAGACTACCACTAAAAATAGTCCGGTACCGGGACATCAGCATCCCTCCCCTGAATCACACAGACTGAGCCGAATTACTGCCAATGCAGAGATGGTTCCCTAAGATACGGGGGACAGAGCAGACAACACCTATTGCAATATAGCCTGCAGCTGTGTTTGCCGGACCAAACCCCACCCCATTTCTTGCCCTAAGAAGAGTAGCTCCAGTCAAGATGATACCGTCAGCCATTTGGAAGTAATACCTTCCTGTTTACCCACATGAACTTCTGCCCCAAAATGGAGTATTCACTTGTGTTCTGCCCCCACACCCGGACTCTTGCTTGCACAGTCCCCTGCCCACCACTTCCTCATTCCTGTCGTCTTGCTTGGGACCCAGATCCAGGCCTGGCTCCTTGGTGTCTTCCCCGAGGGCCTCTTTGGGTCACTTGCTATTCTAGACGCCAGGGACATTTGTTGTTTGGCTGTGCGCTGACGGTGGTATTCGCCATGCAGTTCCAGGCGGAATTTGGTTGCTTTTTCAGGCAAGCTATGCCAGAATTCCCCACTCAGAGGACCGCAGGCAAGGTAACTTTGCCAGCCCGTCAGGGTCCGGATGAGAGGCAGTTTAGAGCCAGCCTGGGAACATGATCCACATGACACCATAATTCATAAAACATCCTCCGAGGATAAGCAGCAGCAGCATGTAAGTGATGGCCTCCATGAGACCAGAAGTCTTTCAGCTCTGACACCAGGGACCCCAAGAACAGGAGCCGGGAGGAAGGTGAGGGGTGAGAGCTGCCAATGTAACAGGTGACCCTGAGGTGAGGGAGGTCAGCTGGGGCTCTGGTCATCCAGGTGGACACTGTGCAGACCTGGCACAATGGTGGCATACTCGTGTCGTACACCCCCCGACTTCAGACCATCGCCATGCTTTTAGTCCTTAGAGTCCTGGCATTTTCCTCTCCCGCCTCTCGTCTAGTCTCCCTGGCACCTGCCTGGCTGCTTGCACTGGCGCTGTCGAGGCAGAGGGGCCGGCTGTCTCCCAACCAGCTTCCAGGGAGACAATGTGTAAAAGCAAGGCTGTGAGGGCTGCCAGACAGGGAAAGGGAGGGAGCGGGGAATCGCCAATGAGGGAGAAAATGTTAACCCGGCACACAGGCTTTTCATAAGAACTTTATTTCTCAAAAAGGGGGAACAATCCAAAGTATTAAAATAATCCTCTAATTTTATTTTGGAGGGAAAGGATAGGATGACAAAAATTCATATAAAAATTTCAAGCATAATTGTCAGATACTTCACCCTGACACCCACACCTGTCTGAGCTCCAGGTTCCAACTGCATCACAAGTATTGCCAATCTCCTGGACCCGGAGAGGCTGCGAGCGTCCGGAATGCTTATAGTTACTCCACAAATAAATACAAAAGATCAACCTCCCAGTGGAGATGATTTGGCCCATTTTGGTGATTGTTTTTGATGAGAATGGTGCCCCTCGTCTAAGTGCCAGACCTTTCCTTTTCGAAGATGACTCCGAGTGTGAAAGAAATGTGGAAACATGTATTAGGTATGGCTGGCTCTGGTACCAACCAAATGCCAAGGGAGACTTTACCTCACTGAGGCAGTAAAAAGGGGAGAAGCGGCCATAATTTTTCCATTGCTTCTTACATTGGAGACCAGACCTTTGTTTCTATCACTGAAGAAAACTGGACTATGCAAAGCAAAGTCCCTATTTAGAGCAATTAAGAAAGTCCCTATCCATAATAATTATTTTCTAACTTAAAAAGAGGAAAAGAAAACGGTGAGCTGGATTGCAAGTCATTAGCCAAGACCAATGCTGCCAAAATGAGCCCACAGCAGGAAGGCCTTCGGGAGCGGGAGCTGCGACCGGCTCAGCCCGAGGTCCCGAAGCGAGCTCAGCGGTGAGGACCTCTCGGAACACCCGCTCTCCTCTGCGGCTCTCAGTTGGTGTTGCTCTGAGGAACAGGGAGGTTCTCGTGAAGGTATTTTAAAGTTCCATGCTCGGAGAAATCCGAGACCACGTGGTCCTGCCCTCGCAGCAGCCACTTAGTAGTAAGCAGTCCCTCAAGTCCTACTGGTCCCCGAGCGTGGATTCGTGAGGTACTGATTCCCACTTCAGCTCCTGCAAAGAAGCACGGGTGAGGGTGTGGCGTTTCCCGCCTCGGCTTCCTGTCTGCTCACCAGCCCCTTGCCCGCCCGCTGCCCACACCTGCCCATCCTCCCGGCCAGCTTGAGCTTGTCCCCACGTGTTCTCTGGTCGCTGTACATCATGCCGAACCTCCTTCTTCTCATGAAACCCAGCGTGTGGGCTCTTGTGCTTTACCAGAAGTGCTCTCTCTGCTACCTGTTCAGTGTCTGGACTGTGCACCATAATTTGGCATTGGGGCATTTTCTGAGTTATATGACAATGTTTAGTATGGAGGTTTCATCTCCTTAAATATTCTTCAAATCCTAGAAAAAGGTATGTTCTCGAGGATCCCCCATAATTCTTAGCACTAAACTGAATACATGGAAGGGTGTTGCTCATCTCCCACCCCTCTCGCTCCTGGCTCAGACATGGGCATCAGTCTTCCTGGGTCTGGCTCAGTGTTCTGCACCTCCCACGGGGAAGGCAGGATCCCGTGTCCATCACAACTGTACCGAGCATGTACTGGCCCTGGGGATAAGGTGGTGAATAACTGGTACAGTCCTGTTTTTGTGGAGCTTATGTTCTTGTGGACAAGGCAGCCAAGAACTCATGTGTGATGGGTGAAGGATGCTGTGACAGACTGTGCGGGCCTGTGGGGGCCACACTGGGCAGGGTGGGCAGGGATCGAGCGCCTCCCTGAGAAGCTGCGTTTCTGCTGAAACCTGAACAATGAGGAGCCAGCTAGGGAGGGGCAGGTACAGGGTGCTGCAGGCAGAGAGGAGCGAGGAGACCCGAGTGGGGATGAGCTTGGGGTAGTGGTTGGCAAGGAGCCTGTGAGCACCACATTCAAATTCTGTTAAATAATGTAGAGACCATGTGACTCTGGGCGTGTTGCCTTGATCATCTTTCATGCTTTGATTTTTGTCATTAAAAAAATGAGTAAAATAATAGATCCATTATGGAGAGCTAAGGGAGACACTGCATATGATGCACTTTACACAGTGCTGGGGATACAGTAAATGCTCAATAAGTATTATCTGCCAGTGTTACTAATGCATTTGACTCAACCAGAGCCTGAGCTTCTGCTCTGAGCTGGGGACAGAAAGACGATGGAGGATCTCTTGCTCTCCCTGCATCTTGACTTTCGCTTCCAAGCTGGGCTCCTCAGCCCTTAAACGTATGCTGCTATTTCTTCTTCAAGACCATGGAATACAAAATTCAGTGCAAGTGATATGATATTAAATCAAAACCACAACACAATAGAGACAGGGAACTAAAAATAAAGTGTCTAATGACTAAGAATAACTGAGTAAAATTCCCTTTAATAACATTTAACAATTCAGTGAGAACTATTTCTTTAGGCAGATCATCTATTCAAAAGTTCAGAGGGATTGCAATGCTTCAAGTGCTGAAACTATTTCTCAGATTAGTTTACCTGCCTTATTGGAGCTTTGTTTAATGGCACCCCTGAACACCAGAGATGGTCTGAAAAAGCCCTAACTACTGGGGATGGAGATTTTATTATTATTATTATTTTTTAAAATATATTTTTATTGATTTCAGAGAGAGGGAGAGAGAGAAAGAGAGAGAGAGAACCATCAACAATGAGAAAGAATCATTGATCGGCTGCCTCCTGCAGCCCCCCACCCCCCCAGCCCTCCCCTCCGCCATTGGGGATCGAGCTTGCAACTCGGGTATGTGCCTTGACCGGGAATCGAAACATGACCTCCTGGTTCATAGGTCAATGTTCAACCACTGAGCCATGCTTTGGTGAAAGATGGAAGGGGAGAAGGGTGTCTTTCAGAAGCTTTTATTTCAGGCTGCTTTAGAAGTAAACCTCGCACCCCTGGGCTTACCTGTCTGTTTTCGATGCTGACATGTAAGCCCAGCATAGGCACGAACACCTTCTTAGTCCTGTCCTCATGTGGAACTCCTAGCTCTGAGGCAACCTGGCTGTGTCTCCCTAAAGGAAGCCTGCAATCGCAGTGCTCTCAACGGGCCTTGGCACAGATACCTGCTACCACCGGTGTATGGAGACAGGCTGTGGTCTGCCTGCACTGCGGTGGGAGTGACCGGGGCTTTGGGCTGCACAAGTCTGGGTTTGAATGCCAGCTGCATGACTCTGTACAAGTTACTTCACCTCCTTGAACCTCAGTTTCCCCATCTATGAAAAAGAACATCCAAGTACCTACCTTCTTAATATGTGAAACACCCAGAGCATAGGACTTTATCAGCTACTATTTTCTCTCACGTACCCACCCTCCCACAACTCTCTCTTCTCTTGACCAAGCATGTGACCACAGAGGTGAGCTGTCTCCTCCACCCTCACCATGCTCCTTGGACAACAGTGGTCCTTTCTCCCATGACCAGAGTCCTTACCCAGCCCGAAGCGGTAGCCATCGGAGAAGCGGGTGCTGGCGTTCCAGAACACACAGGCACTGTCAACGTGCTGCAGGAAGAACTCTGCAGTTTTCTCTGCAGCAGAAAGAGAAGGAACTGAGTTAGGATGATCCACAGAGAACACCCTGCTTCCAGCCCCTCACCTGGAACTGACCGGGGCAGGGTCCAGGCACCAAGGGGCTTCCCCGCGTGTTAAACACGGATTTGTGAAAAACCCAAAGAGGAAGACGGTAGATCGGCTTCATCAGTCACTGCTGTGGAAAGCGTAGCTGCTTGGGAGCTCCCACTGTAGAGATACCCTCGCTGCTGCCATGGCCTGTCTACACTATTACGGTAGATCGGCTTCATCAGTCACTGCTGTGGAAAGCATAGCTGCTTGGGAGCTCCCACTGCAGAGATACCCTTGCTGCTGCCATGGCCTGTCTACACTATTTAGAGGCTCTGGACCCAGAGTGTTTAAGTCTGAAGTCCAAGTTCACACCCACTAGCTAGGTGACCTTGGGCAGGTTTCTGAACCTCTCTGTGCCTAAGTAAAATGGGGACTGACAATGACCTCGCTTACAGTGTGTGGAGAGAATAAGAGGAACTGACATCCACAAAGCACTCATCGCAGTCTAGCACACAGGTGCTCTGTAAATGTTAGCTGTTTCTATTAGTGCTGTTGTGATTCCCCAATAAGTGAACTGTAAATTCCCTGAGGGGGCCACACCGGCTTCCTTAATCACTGGGCCTGAAACCTAGGCATGTCCTGCAATACATATCTGTAGAGTGAATGAATGACTATGGCACTGGTTCTGCCCTTACTCTCCTGAACCTTGGTTTCCTCAGCTGTAAAATGGGCTTATTCCAATAACTTAGAACGACTGTTGTGTGGATTAAACGGTAGCACCTCTAATGCAGGAGTCATCTTTCCAGTGGAGCTAATAGTCTCTTTCCCGCCTCCTCCCACGGGACTACTGTCGCTATAGAATGAGGTAACAGATGTGAGAGCACTCAGCAAAGCAGCAAATGCAACCGACAGCCAGCGTTATCATCAGTTTGCTCAGTTCCGTTTCCTGCAGACCAGGAGGCACCGAGAGGAGAACCACTGTGGAGACGAAGGCAGAGAGAGCAAGCGCCTCCGCTGCAGCATCTGGCACTGACCGTTCTCCGTGACGATGACGTCCGTGTGGGAGCTGCCGTACTTGTGGATGTGGTCGATGGCCTCCTGGACGCTGTCCACCACCTCAATGCACAGCTCCAGGTCCCCGTACTCAGTTCGGAGGGACTTCACTTCCGAGGGGCTGAAGGTCAGATAGGAAGCGAACTTGGGGCCTGCGTGAATTTTCACCTGGAACAGAGAAAGTCCAGGGGCAACAACAGAAACCCATGTGAGAAAGCAAGCTCACACCTCTCCCGGGATCAACAGCAGGCCCGATCAGAGGCCACTAGTGTAGAGTGAGGCCCAGCAGTGAGCATGTGCCCTGACTCCCTTTTAATTTGAGCGGTGCATTCTCATTTTCCCACAATGCTCTCAGGTTCTCACTGGGCCCATGCCACACTGATAGCTGACTAGAGCCTCTTTTCCAGGAAAGGATGGAAGGGAAGAAACACGTGCTGCAGGTCAAAGCGACCAAGGCCAGCAGTCCTTCTCCCGGCTGCTGCACAGAACTCTGCCAGGACATCCGATACATCTGACGGAAAACCTAGGCTGTCCATTTTTGTCTGGGGAGCATCTAGGAATAGGAATGTAAGATGGAGCATACGTCTATGTTGGAAACTTACGGGTATTGGTTGTTTATAACTTTAATAAAATAAAGAACATGACAGCTGTGTCAAAATAGGTGTGGGGATGCTCCTGGTCCAGTCTCACAGGCTCAGTCTCCACGTGGGAGGCAGGAAGTGGTGCGATCCTGCGAGCTTGTCTTACCTGTTCCACTCGCAGCATATCAATGATCTGGTCAAACAGGGGTGTTCTCAGCAGGTCTCGGTGGATCAACAGAGTCTCCAAAGCGTTACAGGCAGCTGGATATTCACATTTAGAGTCTCTGACTAAAGAAAGAGAACAAAGAGTTGTTTTTATTAACACGATCCAGCACCACAGAGGACCTGACAAATATTTTGCCTGTAGAACAGGGGACCCTGTCCAGCTCACCCAGTCTGGAGGCTTTATCGACACTGGCCTCTGAATCCACATACATGTGGCAGATCCCTTCACTGTGCCCCATCACCGGGATCCCCTTGGCGGCTTTCTGGATATCTCTGACCAGCTGGGAAGAGCCGCGTGGAATGATCAGATCTATCATTTTGTCTAGTCGGCAAAGATCTTCCACTTCTTCTCTGGTATTCACCTGAAGAGACAGAGAATAAAAAGATGAAGAGAGTATCTTCTAACCCATGAAATATCCCCATTACAGTCACATGTCTGCACCTCCTGAGCACTAATCAGGCACTGTGAAAACTTGTTCCAAAATAAGACTAGTCCCTGATCATGGGAATCAACGCTATCCAGCAAATGCTCACCAAACTCTGCGTACTAAGTGCTTTGCTGGGCATGACCACAGGCAGGACCCGGCCCCTGCCTCCAGCAGCTCAGAATCTAGTAGGGAAGAGGGGGCTGGGACACAACCAGCCATACACTGGGCAGATAACGTTTTAAATGCCAGGAGAGGTAAAAGTGCCACCTCTGGAATTAGAGGAGGCACAGATTATGCCATGTGATGAGGATCACAAGAGGAAGTGGCTGCCCTGGTGATTCTCTAACCACAGCCTTAGTGACAAGTTGGGTCTTGCTAGGGAGTCATGGTTCTTCATGGCTTCTGCTGACAACCTCAACCCTGGGATGCTGGCTGGGCTAACGAAAGTGCTTATGTTAAGGACAATGACATTGTGGGTATCTTTTTATCTTCTTGATTTTTCATTGTCCCCTATATGGTCATGTTACTTATAAGAGAAATACAAATTTACGTTTACGAAAATGCTCACAGCAACTCTAATCTGCATAATCCAAAGCTGGAAACAACCCAAATGTTTGTTAACAGAAGAAAGGACAAATTAGTATATGCATGTAAACGGAATACTACACGATAGTGACAGAGAAGCTACTGCTAGGTGCAACAACGTGGATAAAGCTCATGGGCATCATAATGAAGAAAAGAAATACAATGTAAAAGAGTGCATTGTGTGATATGAAGTTCAAGAACAGGCAAAAGAAACTGAACGTGAAAGAAGTAAAAGAGCAGTTTGGTGGTGAGGGGCATACTGACAGGCAAGGGCACCTGGGAGCCTCTGGGGTACTGGAAATGTCTTGTATTTTGATATGGCTGGTGGTTATATATGTGCATGTACATATCGACAAAATCACATAAGATCTGTATACTTACTGCATATATGTTGTACATCAATAGGAAGGAGGGAGGCAGACGCCTCTGAATTAAGCTAGGAGGTGGCAGAGCTGGGATTTGGATCCACCACTATGTTGCCATGAGAAAAACCCAGACTCTTATCGGTGAGCATGTGATGCAGCCGTTTTAAAGGCCCTCACCCAGCAGCCCAAAGAACCCTGCAATGTGGGAGCGAGTAGCCTCGATGGAACAGAGAAGGATCTGAGCCAGCCTAAGCCCAAATCTAAACTACTACAGACTGTGACTTACTTAACCTCTGTGCCTACTTTTTTCCATCTATAAAATGGGCCTAAAATCGATATTTTTCTCATAGGGTCGTTGAGAGGATTAAGTGAGAGATAAGAAAGTGCCTTGCCCATAGCAGGTGTTCAATAATTTGCAGCTCTTACTATCTAGTTCAGAAATTCTATTTGATAATTGAGGAGTATAAGACAATGGTTAAAATAACAACAACAACAACAATAATAATAGTAATAATAATAACAGCATGACCTAATATTTACATGATGGTTTATGACAAACTTTCATAAAAATTGATCTCATCTGACTTGGCCTAAATGACTCTGCCAGTGCGCAGAACCCAGGCCTCACACTCCAGTGCTGGTATTCCTGTTGCCCTGTGACCTAAACGATGAAGGGCTAATAGGCATTCTTATGAAGTCAATAGTGCCAGGACACAGTTATGTGAGAGTAGCCTTCCGAAGCCACTGAAGACCCATCTGGCACTGTCCAATGTCAGTAGACAAACAGGACCTGCTGCCACTTCAATTAAGCCCGCCCATGGAAGTGGCTCAGACTCACATGGCCTAAGCTTTGCTTCAAATACCCAAAGACCGGACCTGGCTCCTTTGAACCCAACATGGCTCATTCTCAGGGACCTACCAGCTGTACGGCCTCCTTGACTCCATGGATCGAGAGAGCCTCCTGGGTCAGGACATGAAGAATCCGGTTGCTGTGTGCAGCCTCCTTCCCCCCTTTGAGTAACAAGCCATTACCACTTGCAATAGCCAAGGCTGCCACCTGCAGGTCAAAGGGGAGAGCAGTGAACCAAAGGGAAAAGCAGTAATAGTGACAGCAACGTTAGCATGCACTGAGCACTTCTTCTGTGCCGAGCACAGTGTCAATCACTTCATAAGGCCTATCCTGTATAATCTTGGGGATAGGAGACCCTGACTGGAACCAAACCACCCAGATCTTAGAAACTAAACTCTGAGTCTTCCTTAGCACCATCAGCAAAGTAACCTGAGTTAAGAGGCCAGGGTCACAGGCCTCTCCCTAAGGTGGCCACAGTGGAGGACAGGGTGCTCAGCTGCCTCCTGACCCAGGTGCTTGCTCCACCTGCTGAGCAGAGGGTGGGCAGCACTGCTGGCCACATGTTACTCTGGCCCTGTCACGGTGCTGAGAGCTCTGAACGCCTGGTGCTGAGAACCTGGAGAGGACCAGGCTCCTGCCAGCTCTGGCGGAGATGCTGGGAACGGAGCACAACCTGTCTGGGAAGGAAGAAGCAGGCCATCTGGGAGGAGGATCAGTCACTGACCTGGTCACCCAAGGCCTGGAGCTTAACTTTCTGAGTGCTCTGGGGTAAAGGAGAACCTACCTGGGTTTTTTAAGTAGCGAAAGACACTTTCCTAAAAACACTGTGTGCCTGAAACTGTTCACCTCCAGATCAGTGGCTCTTAATCTTTGTTTTTTTGTTGCTCATGAAGCCCTTAAAAAAGTTATGTACGTTCTCCAGATAAATGCACAAACCCACTGAATTCTGCATACAACTTTTAGGATTCAGGATTCTGTGATGCTATCCAAGCGAGGAACCTTAGTGGGCCAAAGAGGAAACCTTTACCGGGTGAAGTATCAGCTAGTGTGGCTAAAAGGGAGCAGGGAGACTTCATGGACACGGCTGCACAGAGACTGGGACTCGTTTCCACCAGCAGAGGGGGCTGTGCAGTTCTCCCTGGGGCACTGCGGAGACAGGTCAGAAGGGGCTGGGTGGTGAACAGGCTGGTTTTAGGTCCTCAGGGAGAATCCTCCACAGAGCACGCTGGACTCCCACGGTCACTGATGCCATGGAGTAAAGAGTACTGCTTGTTTGTTTTTAAACAGACTTTCTCCCTGAGACTTCGCGGCTTGTCCAAAGAAAGAGCTGGTATCGTACTAGACAGTCCAGTGGGGGATGTTCTCAGATTTCTGGGAGAAAGTTTAGGGCAACAAGAACATGGCTGTTTGGCAAGCTCTTTAATACATGGTTTCTCAACATGAGCCTGTGATATGTCAGATTCCTGAAAGAGGATTATATTATAGTTTACATCTTTACTAGACATTCTTTTTCTAAGATGTACCTTCAGGAAGCCATCTGAGACACTGATGATAAAGGGCCCTCTTTCGCATGGGCAAAGCCAACTATGAGATGAAGGACCTGCAGGAGGCTAGCAGGGACTCTGGGGTGAGGGAACAAAGTGCCTAGTGAGCTAATATACTTGGAAGGGGCTACTGTGGTCAGGGAGATTCATCTGGGGTTAAGGCCCAGATCCACATTAATAAGTTTCACAATAGTATTACCTCCTATAAACTTCAGTTTCTTCAACTGTATAATGTACATATAAATACTTACTTTAGAATTATTGGTAAAGCCAGTAACATGAATTACCTTAAGAACAACCTAAGAATAAAGTCTCAAAAATTATTTTTTTGGCCCTAGCCAGTTTGGCTCAGTGGATAGAGCGTTGGCCTGCAGACTGAAGGGTCCCAGGTTCAATTCTGACCAAGGGCATATGCCCAGGTTGTGGGCTCGACCAGTGGGAAGAAGTGTGCAGGAGGCAGCCAATCAATGATTCTCTCTCATCACTGATGTTTCTACTTCTCTTTTCCTCTCCCTTCTTCTCTGAAATCAGTAAAAATATATTTTTTAAAAATGTTATTTTTTGGGGGTGGGGTGGGGGAGAGATAAAACGTTCTTACTTAAAAAAAAAAGAAGAAGAATCTTTGGGAGATTTATCTCGGCATTAGTCACATACCTGGGGTAGACAGTCGGGGCGAGACTCGAAGATGACCAGTAGGACTCCGATTGGGACAGTCACTTGTTCTAGTTCCAAGTTTTTGGCAACTCGGATCCGGCGCAAAACGCGCCCCACGCTGTCCTGGGAGGAGGCTGCAATCTGCCGCAGACCGATGGCCAGGCTGTTCAACTTAGACGTGGAGAGGCTCAATCGTTTCAGCAGAGGAGGTGCAAGTCTCCCTGGGGGTGTAAAAATGCATGATGATAAAGGAGGAGACCTGGGCAGCAGCAACTGTCCTACTGGACGTGTGGCGCTGTCTTTGAACAGACATGGAATTAAGGGAAAACAAGGACATGCCATTTACACAGCTTTTCTGGGGGGTAATAGTTTGCCATATAAAGGTATGTAAACCTACACCTTTTGTGCAAGTTCGGCTCCAGAAACTTGTCATCTGCAGGAGTGAACTTCCATGTAATGAGAATACTTATCACAGCATTTTTATATTAGTGGGAATCTGGGTTCTACCTATAAAATCAGGCAGTGGGCTACCATGCAGTTAACATCAATAGCTATATGATATGATATGAAGAATACAGTTTGTGAAAAAGGAAAACTACAAAACAGTATGTATGGTGGGATCCTATTGATCAAACATGACATGTTTCTAAGTCTGGAAGGCATCAAGAACAGTGACGATTGCTGTCTATGTTTCTGCATTATTTTAATCTTTAATTCTTTTACTTTAAATTAATGGACAGGATGTCATCAATTCTTTTACTTTAAATTAATGGACAGGATTTCCATTTCCGAGAATTTATTTTATGACTTGCCAATACTACAAAAATTCAAAAGACCAGATGTAAATTCTACAGGAAGTTCCAAAGCAATGACTCAAACATGTGTTAAGGAATGGGAATAATGTTGATGAGCCTTGCTAGGTTTCTTTGAAGGGTATAAAACTAACTTGGATGTTTAATTTAAGGCATATTTATTCAAGAGAAAATAAAATAAAAAGCCCCATTAACACCAATCCCCATTATTTTAGGGTACCAAAGACAGAGAACTAGGAAAAGGCCGAGACAGAGTGAGGGCCTATCTGGCTCTACATATTTAGTTGTCAGCCCTCTCACTCTACCATTAGCACCTTGAGGGCATTTCTGTTGGGCCTGTTGCTAACCCTGGGCAGACCGCACACTAGGAGATGAGCTGTCTTTCATCACAGGCTGCATAAACTATTCTACAACTATTTTACAGACACAGTCCATTTGGGTTTAAATCCAGATCTGTCACTGGCCATGGTTTCAGGCATGTGAAAACTGCTTCATTTTTCTCCTCTGTAAAATCAGGATAATATATAGTAGCTACCTCACAGTGCTATATTGTAAAGTAAAATGAGATCCTGTCGGCCCAGCCAGCGTGGCTCAGTGGTTGAGCATCGACCTATGAACCAGGAGGTCACGGTTAAATTCCTGGTCAGGCCAACTTTCTTTCCCTCTACGATGTCTGTGATGACATGCCCAGACACTTTTGGGTGGCTTCCATTGGCAATAACCACTGAAGTGCCACCCTGCAAAGCCCAGAGGGCCGCTTTCACCTAAAGGAGAGGTTAGACCCAAAGATGAGACTCAGATCTTTGTAGGGTCTTGTCACCTGCACTTTAAATTTGCAAAATATTTAAAATGCAATGTGATACGGAGCAATTTAAGAATACAATTTAAGAAGCTCCGAAAACACACCCAGCCCATCACTCTTTCCAATTCAACTGTAGCATGTGCTGCCTAAAAGTGAACCAGTCTGCCCTTCGTGCTCAACGTGTCCTCTCTCCAAGACTCTACACTGGGACGCCCCATGTCCACATCTGACGCACTGAGCCTCAACTCAGTGTCCCGTCGGGTGTTTGGCCAAGTCTGAAGCTGAGTACTTTTAGCTTTTGTAAATGGGGCTTTTGTCCTCATCTCTACCATTGCTACACATGAGGCTGTACCTTAAGGGCATAACTTCTTAGAAAAATTAATGGGAGAGAAGAACTTTTGCAAGATGTCATCAAAAAATATTTGAGCTGATAACATTAGAGGATTTATGAATTATGAAAACTATACAGACCTTGTCCTTAAGGAGTTTACAATATGAACACTCACTCTATATAATATTAATAAAAGAGAATGCATACACAAACATGACTAAATACAGGTACACAATATGCATTAAGCCTATATTTAGATATGTGCATACGTAATTGTGTATGTGCCTAGCATGTGCACCATTAGCCCACAAAGAATTACAAAAGTAAAAATGGTATTTTGGCTCTATAACTGTTACAGGCGGTAAAGGCACCAGATTCTTACCTTGGCTTCCATGCCACCCATTCCCACTCTGGACTTGGTGCCGAATGTCACAGATTGCTGATCTCCAGGATAAAATGTGTCAATGAGCTTTGCATCATCTGACCCTGGGGGGCTGTCAAAGAGGCCTAAAAAGTAAACAAGGGTCAATCATACTGTTTTAATGGAAGTCCAAGAGAGGCCTCCCGGGCACTGCCAACCACTCTGTACTTAACCCCTCCAGAAGAATTCTGTTCCATCAACTCTACCCAGGAAGGAGAATGGGGGGTTCCAGAAGTCCACCCCACTGAGGAACAACTCCAGGACGCACCTTGCATATTTTATAACCAGCTTAATAAGTGAATGTTTGCCAGCCTCAGAGCATGGCCATGTCCTTGGCACAGGTTAGCCTGCCTGGGGGGTGGGCTGGGTACTCAATAGGCTTTTCAGACCTCCAGGGAATGTAATGGGAGACTTTGAGGATCCTGTAGATTTGGCCTATTTTGACACAGCTATCATGTTCTTTATGGGTCAAAATGTAAATGGGTACAACTCAGCAAAGTGGAAGAGTGAATGGAGAGTCCACTGGAGCCACAAGGGGCCCCTCCCTGAGGAGGAAGAAAGGGAGTAATACATAAGCCAAGGTGGCCACACAGCCTAGATTTTCTGCAGTGGCTCCAATTTAAAACAATATGTCTTATGAATTACATTAAAAACTGAAAGTGATAAAAAGTAAGATGATGTACCACTCCACACCCACTAGGATGGCTATAATAAAAAAGGCAGATGACAAGAGGTAAGTGTTGTGGATGTGGAGAAACAAGAGCCCTGTCTATTGTGAGTGGGACTGTAAAAGGGCGCATTTTGTACCATTCTGGAAATGGTTTGCATGGCTAAATGGTATATACATGGTTTGAAAAACAGTCTGGCACTTCTTCCAAAGAGTTACACCTTATGATCCAACAATTCTGCTCCTCAGTAAAATAAAAAATACATCCACACTAACACTTGTACATGAAGGTTCAAAGCAGCATTAGTGTATGGTTCCATTTATATAAAATGTCCAGAACAGGCAAATCAATAGAGACCATGTAGACTGAGGGCTGCATGGGGCTGGAGAGTCTCTGGGGAAGTGAACAGTGACTGTTAATGGGGATGGGATTCTTGTGGTGGGGATAAAAATGTTCTAAAATTGTGGTGAGGGTTGAAAAACTGTATGAAGACACTAAAAATCACTGGAATGTAAACTTTAAATAGGTGAATGGTATGGTCTGTGAATTAATTCTCCATAAAGCTGTTATAAAAAACAAAATGAAAGTGTTGGAAAATGACAATCTTTCAGCATTTAAACTGCATTTCCCAGACTCCCCCACCTTCTTCTGAGCCATAAAAAACCCTTCGTCAGACCACATGGCTCAGAAAATTATGTCCCATAGAAAAAAAGATCAGAAGGATTCAAAGAAAGAGGAAAACTCATGCTCACACATGTCGTATTTACAACAAAGGCTGGATAAAAGGAAAAGGCGTTACTTTGTACCTTCCACATCTGAAAGAACAATCAAGAGGTCAGTTTTCATTTCCACCGCCAGCCGGGCAGCCAAGCTGTCATTATCTTTGACACTAATAACCTGGAATGCAGGTGAAAAGTCGTGAGTGAACTACACAGTTCAAAAGGAAGTTCACAGAAGCACTCAGCCAGGCTCTGCAGGCCCCTCTGTCTGCAAAACACCATTCTCTGGCAGCCCCCCTTTCCAAACATGCACCTTTCTATCCACTGACATACATAAGCCATGCTCACGGCAGCATCTTCCATCACGATCACACCTAACCAGTTGAAGGAAACCCTCTGACTCCAGGAGAGCTTGGGCCCCACTGGTCAGGACACCACTCGCTCCCAATTTCCACCTCGTTAGGGTCAGACTTGCGGTGTTAGTACATGCAGCACCTCGTGGCGTTAGTGTCTCTGGCATGCTCGACCCTTTGGAGCATTTTACCCACATTTACCCCCTGGAGATCACTATTGGGCTCAGCTGGGGGGACAACAGCGTCATTCGTGTTGACAATGGGGACGATGTTCATTCGGAGGAGCTCATGAAGTGTCCCATTGAGGTTCCGGCGCTTCTGTTCATCGTGGAAATCCAAATTGGTCACCAAAATCTAAAAGGTTTAAATAGATCAAAAACACGAGGGAGAAAAATGATGAAATTCCTAGGTATCGCTTAAAAAAATGCTAAAACTGGAGAAGTTAAACATTAGGATTCTGCGATCCTACACAGATTGGAATGGAACACACATCTTTGGATGCCTACCCAATTATTCTAGATATGAGGGAAAAGTTAGAATGATTTGGAAGATTTAATGATGTTCAGGACTTCTTGTAAAAGTACTTTAATTCTCAGGGCACTACCAAATCTCATCCATTTACAAAATTAAGAAAAATTAATGCATCTACTTTGGAGGGCTTTGGGGGAAAGTAATGAATGTCATTAACTTCTAAAATACCTTTGTATCCTAGCATCTGATTCAGGCACAGAAACATTTGGCGAGCGAATGAATGAATGGTTTTCCCTGCTGGGAAGTGTCTGAGATAAAAGGAAATAGGGCTGTGTCATCACTGTTCTCGCTCTGCGGCCGACCACTACTGGAGTTTACAAAGACTGTGTGAGAGCATGTGGGCTAATCTGAGAGGTGTATGGAGGTGACCCTCTAGTCACACACTGAAAGAAGGGCTAAATGTCACTTAGCTCAGGGGAGGGGATGGGCAGAGTGGAGAGCTGGTGGTCAGCTCTGCTTTCCTGCCTGAATCCAAGTTTCCGGCAGGGTTTAGCAGGGGAGAGAGGTAAAGGGGGATGATGTCAAGAAACTAAATGGCAACAAACCCTGAAGCTCATGAAAAAATGCTTCACCAAAAACCCTCTGATGGTTAAGGAAGGGGGCTCTTGTGGTGAAAGGCAGGCTGAAGTAGGAAGGTTGGAGGCAGGTGGTCCAGGAGGAAGGGACTGAAACAGTGGGAAAGGCTGAGCCCTGAACTGGGATTGGGCAATGGTAACTAAGGTAACAGCAGCCTGAATGACATACAAAATGTGAGTGAAGAAGACAAAATGGTAATGTCTAAGGGAAGTAATTCACTCACTCATTCCATGAAATATTTATTGAGTACCTCTGGAATGCCAGGCCCTGTGCCAGCTGCTGGGATGGAGAATAAAAATGGTGAGGGTTTGGGTAAGATGGAATAGGGCCTGTTTTTGTAAGGATGGATCATGAACTCCTCTTCAGAAAAGCTTAGTCCTATAGAAAACAGGACTGAGTTAAAAGCAAACAACGGATTCTAGTCCTGGTGGTGAAAGGTCAAACAATAAAAGTAAACACATGTATGTAGGAGAGGTGAGCAGAAGGTATAAAGGTCCAGGGAAAATACCTATTGCTCAAACAATTGAACAAGCAAGAGATAGGAGACAAGAGCCCCACGGGAGAAAAGAATGTGCCCGGAGGACAACCTGTTACCATGCAAATCAGTGTCACGTCTATGAAGGAAAAATAAGCTGCTTTACTTGTTTTAAGTCTTTAACCTGATAACTTACTGGAGATTTCCACAGCCCCTGAAAATGGTCTTCAAAACGAGATTAGTAAAGAAAACAAGGAACCACAGGATAAGGTACAAAGGGCAAACACTTCTGGTAGATAAGACAGTGGGGAAGGCAAAGAGAGGGGCCCAGGGCGGATGCTTGCTGGAAAGTGGAAGGGGCAGAGCTCTTTCTTCCACATCGTTAATGGAAATGGTTACTGTGCACTGACTTTTAATGTAACTTTTATTAAAAAAAAAAAAGCCTGACCAGTGTGGCTCAGTGGTGGTTGACCCATGCACCAACAGGTTGCTGGTTTGATTCCTGGTCAGGGCAAATGTCCAGGTTGAGGGCATGATCCCCAGTTGGGGGCATACAGGAGGCAGCTGATCGAAGTTTCTCTCTCATTGATGCTTCTATCTCCCTCTCCCTCTCCCTTCTTCTCTAACAGCAATAAAAACATATTAAAAAACTAACAACTGCCTGGCCAGCGTGGCTCAGTGGTTGAGTGTCAACCTACGAACCAGGAGGTTCCAGTTCGATTCTCAGTCAGGACACATGCCTGGTATTAAAAATCCTACTTATTTTTTAAGGTCCACCTCAAATTTTGTCTAGTCCAGGGAATATTTCTCAGTTCTATCCATTAACATTCTCTTCATGATTTTACATTTTCTAAAAAAAAACAACACAAAACACCAAAAAACCAACAACCAAAACACCGAAAAAAAAAAAAAATCAAACCTGGTAAAAAGCACAACAAAACAAAGACATAGTTCCTGGCCCTAACTGGTTTGGCTCAGTGAATGGAGCGTCGGCCTGCGGACTGAAGGGTCCCAGGTTCAATTCCAGTTAAGGGCATGTACCTTGGTTGCAGGCACATCCCCAGTAGGAGGTGTGCAGGAGGCAGCTGATTGATGTTTCTCTCTCATCGATGTTTCTAACTCTCTATTCCTCTCCCTCTCTGTGAAAAATCAATGCAATATATTTAAAAACAAAACAAAAAAAACATAGTTCCTGGACGTAAGTTTCCTCATTTGGCTCCAGGCATTTTAAAAAAATTAAAGACTTAAACTGTCATTGCATTGTAGCAGAGAAGAACTAATAAAAGGTGACAGAAATTGAGATTTTCACTGTATTTATGCTAACAGAAAAAAAAAAATACAAAAGCTAAGATGACAGAGAGTAGGGTCTCCTGCCACAGGAAACAGGTGGACAAGTCCACGCCTTCTGTTTCAGCTCACTTTTTCAAGGACACGCTAGTATAATTCCAGAACATCACTGAATAACAACTGTGAAAATGAGGGGGACACAAAGCAATGGGAAGTGAAAGATGCACATATAACATCACTTGTGTAAAATAACCCCTGTGTAAGTGATCAGAGGCAGCAAGGGCGTCTGAAAGAATAGCCTTGGGAGTTAGGTTATCTTCAGTTGTTTTGTGAAGTGACCATTCAGTTGTTTTGTGATATTTAGATTTTTCTATTCAGTGTGTAGTTGTTTAGTTGATGAAAAATACAATTTTTTAAAATTCTGGAAATTTAGGTAAAAAAGAAATGTTAGGAAGAAGGTTCTAGAACATTCAGAGGTAATCACTAAAAATTTCTAAATTCCATGGGGACTGGAACCATGGCTGACTTAACAGATTCCTTGGTACATCATAGGTACCCCAAAAATATTTGCTGAATGAATAAAAACCTAACAAATCACCAACATTCCTTTTGCCTTCAATGTTTAGCAGGTATCTAAGGCAACCACTACCAGGCGAAGCAAGCCAATGAAATAAAGATATCTATCTTCAGAAGAATTAGCAGCTGCAGCCCTAAGAGGTACTAGTACAACAACCAGAGCTAACACTTATTATTAAACACTGCATTAAATGCTTTTCACGTAGTGTTTTCTCATTAAGCCCATCGAAAAACCCTCGGGCATAGGCACTGGTATTATCCTCATTTTTCAGAGGAAGAGACAGGCACAAAAAGGTTAGACTGAAAGACTTTCTCCAGATCTCCCAGCTAGCAAGTGCTGAAGCCCAGACTGTCTCCTGGTGGTCTGGCTCCACAGCCCTGGTCATGATCTTCTTGCTCCAAGGGAATCACCCTCACGGGTCCCATGCCCCTTGGAAAGGCCAGCCTCTCACCTGGGCAGCACAGATGCTGTATTGGGTAAACATGGCTTCATACAAGGCCATCAGTCCACTCTGTCCCGCAGCTGCACAGGCTCGGGCTTCTAAGACAGGAATTGCCTGGAACATACCAACAGACAAGGTGTAGTTGAGAGAGAGGGAAGGAGGGCTGAGGGCCCATTCCAAGGGGTAGGGAGCAGCACTCACCATCTCCTTCAGCTGGTTCTGCCCCGAGTGCAGGGCCTGCCTCACGCTCTGAGACAGAAGGATCTCATGGCGCAAGCGTTGCTTGCCGAAAGCTACGGCTCCACTAGTTACCAGCATCATCTCTCGGCCTTGATTCTGTAGCACTGACACCTGACAGTGAGGAAGAAAAGGGCACCACGAGTCACTTGTAACATCTCTTTCCTCTCTTTACAAGAAATGCAGGTAGGATGGACAACTGAGTGGATCCCAAATGCTGGTTTATGGACCAGCGCTGGGCTGGCCCTGGGAAGAATCACCCAAGTCGTTTGGTAAAAATATAGATTCCTACATGCTAACTGAAATCTGGCAGGTAGGTGGCAGACAGAAATCAGAAGTTTTTAATAAGGGATTCTGGTGTGTAGCCAGGCTTGGCATCTCCGGGGCTTGATGGTGTCTGTTGAAGTTTGATGTCTGCAGAAGGCCTAGTTGTTACAGGCAAAAAAGGCCAGAAGAAAAGTTTGGAGCTGAAATTGCAACATAAACTTAGCGGATGAATTCAAATCCTAAGGGGGTATGTCTGATACAGTCACCTTTGGCTGGACCAGAGACAGATGCTCACCCTGTTCGGCTCTGTCTGCCCAGGACCCAGTCACTTTTTCCCTACCTTGGACAGATCCACATGAAAGAACCAAAGAGTCAAGATGCAAATATAGTCAATATTCCTAACCCGTCCATTATTCCTGATGCTTGAACCCTTTAACCTGGTTCAGGAACTCACAAAATTATTTTAAAAAATAATGTTTTACTACAAAAAGTCTCATACTTAACCAAAGTGGTAAGAACAGTATTATGAATTCCAATGTACTCATCACCCCTCGTCAACAACTATCTCTCATGGCCAATATCTCACTTTCCAATACTCCTTGTATAGCTCCACCATTATTTCAATACAAATCCCAAGGCCCCAGACATACGATTTCATCTGTAAATATTCTAGCAGTAATTGCTAAAAGACAGGGAATATACAGGGTGTCCCCAAAAATGTATACACACTTTGAATAATTATATATTCCAATGGGTTAAATCTGAAAAGAAAAAAACATCAACTGAGCCCTAACGGTTTGGCTCCAGTGGATAGAGCGTCAGCCTGCGGACTGAAGGGTCCCAGGTTCAATTCTGGTCAAGGGCATGTACCTTGGTTGCGGGAACATCCCCAGTAGGAGGCGTGCAGGAGGCAGCTGATTGATGTTTCTAACTCTGTATCCCTCTCTCTTCCTCTCTGTAAAAAATCAATAAAATATATTTAAAAAGAAACATCAATTGAGTTACCAGCTGTTAGTGTATACATTTTTTGGGGACATGCTATACATCCTATCTAATAAAAGAGAAACATGGTAATTAGCGTACGACCGCTACCCTTCCCATTGGCTAATCAGGGAGATATGCAAATTAACTGCCAGCCA